TTTTTGCATTTTAGGGAACGGTCTACAGGGTGTTCAAGGTCTCACTACTAGATCAGACTCGTAGTGATTCTCCTGTTTACAGCCTCCCAAGTGCTGGGTCAGCGTGCCCCAGGGGCGCCTTTTCACTCTGAAAGAGGCCAGAGCGCAAACCAGACTCCAGCTGCTCAGACGGGCAGCCTCAAACAACCCAGTCCAGGCTGTCCACCATCAGGAATGAAGTGGGCACCAGGCCGGGGAAGGACAAGGCGGCCGAGCGGACCAGCACTTCAGTGTCATTCTCTAGTTTATGGTGGCAGACGCGACAGACAGGACGACACAGACTGTCACTGTGAGCACAAGTGAAACAAGACATCCCCCATGCCACCGCCAAATATGGCGTTCCTTGTGTTCTCAAGTCTCTCCCTGTCCCTCTCGTGGTCCTGGGGAACTGAGCCCCAGCTCTCTACCACTGAGCTACAGCTGCACCCCCCTTTTAATTTTGGAGACAGGGTTTTTTTTTTTTAATTATTTATTTATGTGTGTGTGTGTGTGTGTGTGTGTGTGGCCAGCTCAGCACACCAGGGGGCGGGGCTGGCTGGCATGTGGTGCTGGGGATTGAACCGCGGTCCCGTCCCTGTGCTTTGCTAAGCTTGTTCTAAGTAGGTGCTTTAGACCACTGAGCCATCTCAACAGCCCAAAATATTTTTTCTTTCTTTCTTTTTTTTTTTTTTTTCAGAACCGGGGATTGAACTCAGATCCTTGAGTTTTCCTGTCAAGAGCTTATCCTACTGAGCCATCTCCCCAGCCCTGGAGACAGGGTCTTGCTAAATTGCTCAGGCTGGCTCTGAACTTGTGATCCTCCTGCCTCAGCCTCCCAAGCAGCTGGGATGGCTGTGCACCACTGCGCCTGGCTTTTTTTAAACAAAAAGAAAACTTTAGGCTGGAAGAAAAATCGATTCAAATTTATTAAAACCACTGCAATTCTGTCTGTGGCTGGAGGACTGCTGGGTGTGGCCCAGGTGAGACTTGAGTGTAGAGAAAAGGCGTAAACACAACATGGCTTTTACTGAGTAGAAAGAAAGGGAGCCCAGCTGTGTGAGGGCCCTGCCGACCCCCAGCCCTGTTGCTGGGCTGCGTGGTCCCCACTGTCCCTCAGTTCCTGGGCGGTCCAAAGGGCGAGGGAGAGAGCACAAGGTGCTGTGACCTCACAAGTCACCCACACTGGGCTGGAGATGGGGTGGGGAGTGGGGCGGAGTGCTGTAGCCAGGAAGGTCCCGTGTGTGGGGTCCGAGGGCGGAGCAGCGGCCTGTTAGGCATTGTACGAGGAGGAGGACACGCTCCCGCCGTGGCCTGTCCAGTTGGTGTGGATGAACTCGCCCGGCTTGGCCAAGAGCTCATAGGTGTGGGCCCCAAAGTAATCCCGCTGCGCCTGGGAAAGCAAGCGGGCAGCGGGCAGCGGGCAGCCCCACAGGGAGGGAGGCCAAGGCAGCGTGGGTGGGCACGGCCCAGCTCACCTGGAGGAGGTTGGCGGGCAGCTTCTCGTGTCGGTAGCCATCGTAGAAGGCCAGAGCAGTGGTGAAGCAGGGCATGGGGATACCCGCCTGGACCCCGGTGGTGACCGTGCGCCGCCACGCATCCTGCATGCCAAGGCGGAGCCGGCGTGAGCAGCTCCCGCTCCGGCAGCAGCATGAGCCCCCTCCCGTGTCCGCCCGTGCTCCCGTGTACCTGGCAGCTCTCCACGGCCGACCTGAAGAAGTCATCAAGCAGCAGGTTCTGGAGGTCAGGGCTGCGGTCAAAGGCTTCCTTTATCTTCCCCAGGAAAACACTGGAATGCATGGGGGGAGGGTCAGTGGCCTTCGCCCTGGCAGGCCCAATGCCGGGCAGAAAGTAGGGTCCGCCCTGGACAGGCCAGGGGGGAGCCTGTCCCCAGGCCTGGGAGCTGGCTGGTGGCTTGGTGACAGTGCGGAGCAGACAGTCCTAAGAAACAGGAACACAGGGCATGACAGTACTCACAGAGACACTTTATTTTTTGGAACTAGAATTTGAACTCAGGGCTTTGAGCTTGCCAGGCAGGCGCTGTGCCACTGAGTTACATCCCCACCCCTACAGAGACACAAAGGTGTCACGGAGTCAATCGAGTCAGCCTCAGCAGCTTGTGGCATGGTTTCCTGACCCCATCCTCCATGGGTCACAGGGTCGATACCCAAGGCGTCACTAAGGACAAGAAGAGTCCCTGCGTGCGCCACACTCTCTGTGGTACTTGCTGTTTTTGCAAAGATTTCCAGTCTGAAATTGGGTGAACCTACACAACAGGAAGCGGGACACAGAGCGCCAACCATACAGGACGCAAAGAGCAGGCACCGTGTAACCCGGTGACAGCTGGCTGCCAGGCTAGGTCACAGCAGGGCAGAGGTGCAGGGTGGCCCGGGCTCACCTGCGGATGATGCAGCCCCCACGCCACATGAGGGCGATGCCGCCATAGTTGAGGGTCCAGCCAAACTCGGCGGCCGCCTGCCTGAGCAGCATGAAGCCCTGCGCATAGGAGATGATCTTGGACGCATAGAGGGCCTAGGGTGACAGCCACACGGCACTCAGGAGGCTGCGTCTGGCGCGTGGCTGCCTCCACCCGCCCAGCCCTCGCTGCAGAAGGGAGCAGGAACTGCAGGCAGCGCCAGCTCGCCTCACCTCTCGGATGTCCTCCAGGAAGGACTTCTTGTCACCCCCAAACTGGGTCTTTGGGGGGCCCCTCAGCCTCTTGCTAGCTTGGACCCTTTCGTCCTTCAGTGACGATAAGCACCGAGCAAAGACAGCTTCTCCTGTGTGGACAGTGAGCAGAGGGTGACACAGCGCAGAGTCCTCCAGGTCCCGGGAAAGAGGCACGCGTGCATCACAGCGCGGAGGTCCAGAGGCGCAGGCGACGCGGGCGCTAAGGTGAGCCCGAAGCGTCAGGCTTACCCTTCAGCAAAACAGTAAACAGGTGATGTGCTAAAATTCACCTCAGTGCAAATGCAAGGACTCAACCACAAAGGCCAACTCACAGTTCAGAGGGGGGAGTTGAGCAAAAGTGAAGAAATAAGACAACTATTGAGAATTACTACTCACTATTGGCAATGAATTAAAATTTTACTTTTTTTTTTTAATTTTAGTTTCAATTTAGAAGACTTCCATTATTTTTCGTAAAAGTTAGCACCAACTTTTTTTTTATCATTTATTCATTTTAATGAGAAAAAAAAGATAAAATAGCAATAAAACGGTTTTAAAACAGGTTGGAACAGTTACAATAATTAATACAAATGTATTAATTACACATACATATATTTTTTTTGTGGTGGTATCAGGGATTGAACTGAAGACCCTGCACTTGCCAGGCAAGCACTTATTCCACTGAGCTATCTTCCTGGCCCTATATTAAATATAGTTGTCTTCATGACTTTCATTATATATTGATAGTTTTTGTTTGGTTTTTCTTGTTGTTTTGAGAAGGTCTCACTTTGTAGTTCAGGCTGGGCTTAAACTCATGGTGATCCTCCTGCCTCAGCCTCCCAAGTGCTGGGATTACAGGTGTGCTCTGCCACACGTAGTAGTTATTTTATTTTCAGCACCAGGGACCGAGCCCAGGGAGCCCTGCACTATATCCCCACCTTCTTCATTTTGAGAAAGAATTTACCGATCAACTACTTACTAATCAACTTACCAAGTTGCCCAGGTTGGCCCTGAACTTACAACGCTCCTGCTACAGCTTCCTAAGAGGAAGGGATTACAGAATGCGCTACCACCCAGGGTATTGGACTTATTTTATTTATTTTTTGGAAACAATGTCTTGCTGTGAAGCTCAAGCTGGCCTTGAACTCATTCTGCAGCCAGGACAGCCTCGACCGTGTGGCAACCCCCTGCTCAGCCTCGGCAGTGTCAAGACCACAAGTGTACACCCTGACTTTCTATAATGTGAACAAATTATCTTCTTTCCTTTTCGGTCCACAGACAAAATAGGCTGAAATCGGGAACCTAAGCGAGGACTTGCAGAGAGCATTTGGGCCCTGAGCTGGAGAGCGTGCGCGGAGCCGCGAGCAGCCCCACACGGCTCCTGTGCCGGCCCGCCCGCCCATCGCTCCTCACTCCTCAGCAGTGCACGGTGATGCAGCAGGCGGAAGCCTCGCACACAGCGCTGCTGCAACTCCACATGTGGCAAGCCCTCGTGTTGCCCAAGGCGAGCGAGGCGGCAGCGACTTCCACCTCGACGCCCCCCTCAAGTGGAACCGCAGCCCCAGCTGCCCAGGGCAGGGCACAAAGTCTCTCTAGCAAGGAGAGGGCTCTGTGGGGACAGTGCTACCTCTGCAACACCTCAGTCCCCACGAGCAGGTGGCTCACACCCCCGCACTCAGGCTGGCTGAGGGCACAACTTCCTTCTGCCAACGGGGCTTCTCGGCCTGCTCCCAGCTTCCCTGCCCTTCCAGGTCCCACGCAGGCGAGGCCAGGCCAACTACTCAGTCAGTGTGGTGGTGCACACCCCTGGTCCCAGCACTCAGAGCTGAGGCAGCAGGACTGCTAAGGGTCCCAGGCCAGCCTGGGCTCCACAGTGGGCTCAAGGCCAGCCTGAATGTAAAACATCCCAAAGCTGAAACTGGGTGGGGAGGGGACGAGCTCCCCAGGGAAAAGGGGAGTATAAAGAGAAGGCGCCAACCAGCGTGCATTCCTACCTGCAGAAAGACCCTGAAAACCCACCCATTCGGACGCTCCCCGGAGGCAACCTTCAGAGAGCACCCCAGGGGGCTTAAGGTCAGAACTGGGGCCCGCAACAGTACCGATGAGGGTGACAGGGACACCGTACTCCAGGGCGGAGATGGCCGTCCACTTCCCGGTGCCCTTCTGCCCCGCGCTGTCCCTGATCTTGGGCAGCAGGTGTTGGCCATCGCTGTCTTTGAACTTGAGGATGCTGGCGGTGATCTCAATCAGGAATGAGTCCAATTCAGTCTTATTCCATTCCTCGAACGCCTGCAGGGTCAGAGGGACAAAGCAACGTCAGGATGAGGCCGCACAACCTGTGCAGGGCGCGTTCCTCCCTGGCTTGCCCGCCCACCTGCCCAGGCCACACCTGTCTCCGAAGTGACCAGGGCATGCAGCTGCCTGGCGCACCTGCCTGGCGGGGAGCTTGGGGCAGTGCAGCCACAGCACAAATGAAGCCAGTGTCTCTGCCTGCTTGTTTCCTCACGACAGGCCATGCTAAGGTTTCTGTATTAGTTTCTGTCTGCTTGCCTGCCTGCCTGCCTGCCTGCCTGCCAAGACCACAGAGCCTCGGGAGCACACCTCCATGGAGAAAGCACTTCTGTGTACTCGTTGGAGAAACAGACCGAGATTATACACACCAACTAACTGCGAACACGCACGGAAAAGCCCGGATGCAGTGAAACGGCAGGAGAGGAGCTCGGGCTGGGCAGTTCAGTGCAATGAGTGATTGCCTAGCATCTGGGGCACCAGCTCCAACTTCAGCTAAAGCAAATGTGTACCTGCACTGCTGAAGTCCCCAGGGAAGGAAAGTACCCGGGACATCAACAGTGGGCGGACAGACAGTGCAGATGGATGGACAGATGGACGGGAAGCGCATCCCTGCGCTTCCCATGCACTAACTTTGAGGAACTATCAGCTAGTCCCGGCCGCATCAGCAAGGACAGCTCCCCGCTCACTGAGTGACCGCGGGGGCGGCGCACCTGGGCCATCTCCTCGTGCCCCATGCCCAGCACGTCCTTCATCAGGTGGTAGGCCTCGCAGATGAGCTGCATGTCGCCGTACTCGATGCCGTTGTGGACCATCTTCACGAAGTGCCCGGCTCCCTCATCTCCTACCTGTCGGGGCGACAAGCAGGGGGCCATCACGGGGAAACAGCGCAAAGCCCCTCAGCCCCACAGGTCCTCCGCAAGGCTCCCTTCCCTGTCCTTCCATTTGTTCGTGCAAAAAGCAACGCAGGAGGGAGGCGCACATAATTATTTTCAAACAAAATTCATCTGGCAGCACGCACGGTGCAGGCTTCGATCCAGTCCCATGCGCCCTCAGCTGTTTGTCCCTATAGACTTGTCTCTCGCATAGGTCCTGCAGGCTCGTTCTTGTGGCTTTGCCCAGTCCTACACACAAGTTTAAAAAATCCTCTCTGCTGAGTGTGGTGGCATGTGCCTGTAATCTCAGCACCAAGGAGGCTGAGGGTGCTGAGTTCGAGGCCAGCCTGGGCTACAGAGTAAGTCCAAAGCCAGCCTGACCCTGTCTCAGAAAAAAAGACCACAAAAAAAATCCTTTTTCCTGGAGCTGCCACTTTTTTAGCAATGGGAAGTTACAGTAACTGGTTCATTAAATCTTTTTTTTTTTTTTTGCGGAACTGGGAATTGAACTCAGGCCCTTGCGCTTGCCAGGGAAGCGTTTATTCCATGGAGCCATCTCCCTGGCCCCTAAATCATTTTTTTTTTTTTTTTCCTGAGATATAAATACAGCCTTGCAAGGCTCTCAACTTCTGAATCCAGACATGCAGTTCCAGGCCCGCTGCTGACGGGGTCCTGCCTCACATGAGCTCGCCAGATGTAAAACTCAGAACAGTGGCTGAGTTTACCATGGGCAACTCTTTTTTCCTTTGTTTTTGGAACAGGGTCTCACTATGTAGGTCGTGCTGGCCCTGGGCTCTACAGTGAGTTCAAGGCCAGCCTGGATTACATAGCGAGACCCTGTCTTGAAAAATCAAACCAAACGACTTACTCTGATCCCACAGAGCTACCTGGGGAAGCGAAACATCTGCACACCGTCCGTGGGACAACGCACAGAGGCACAGTCAAGTCCTCGGGGCACGCTGGTGGCAGGCAGTCTCCCGGCCACCTCTGCGTCCACACTGCTGACCTGGCCCTCCTGACTGGGCCAGGCCAGGCCCACGGGTCCCGAGGCACGCGAGTGCGCGCTGGGTATCAGCCGGAGGATTCAGACTGATGCTAACGTCACTAAGCAGCCACTGGAGCCAAGGCAGGCTCTGCTCAGCCGTGCACCGGTCACTGGGGCGGCCCTTGGTGCCCACGGTGCCCACGACGCGCAGGGTTGCCCAGCACTTGCCCAATCACAGCAGGGCTCTCCGGTTCCTACTTTCGCAGCGATGCTCTGGAAGATGGTCTTGATGTGTGGCCTGCAGAGGGACAGGGATGGGCTCAGCAGAGGGGGCAGTGGCCTCGCTCAGCACGGAGGCCCCACCCAGGCCCCACTTTGCAGCGGGAGGCAGAAGTGCTCCTTCAAGGGCAGAGTACCCTGAGCCCCGCAGGTAAATGTCAGGCCTGTGCCTCTGGTCTGGGTGGGCCTCAGGACAGGCTGCACCACCTGCCTCAGGCACCAGAAGGCCGGGCAGAGCCAGCCGAGGTGTGCACGCCTGTCAGCCAGCACTTGGGAGGCCGAGGCAGGAGGATCACGAGTTTGAAGTCATTCTGGGCTACGGAGCAAGTTCAAGGCCGGCCTGGAGCAGAGTAAGACTGGCTCGGAAACCAAAATAAAAGACTAAGCAGCCTGAACGTGTGGTGGGGATGCAGCTTGGGGCCAAGCACACAGCCCCGGGTCCTACCCCGGCAACACACACATACACACTCCACCAGAAAAATTGCCACTGTGGCACCAGAATAAACTGTGACTCCAGCCTGCAAGTGACCCAGGTTCCCCTTAAGACGAGCTTAGCCTCGATGCAGGCTCGCAGGTTCCGCACACGCGGTCACAGTGTTGCAGAAGCCGCCCAATTCCTCTTCCCAGTTCCTCTTCCCAGCTGCCTGCACGGGTGGTTCTGCCTCCTACTCCTGCTGTCCCCTCACTGTTCTGCCCACTGTGGGCCGGGCAGAGATTCTCCTCCACACACTGCCGCAGACACAAAGCTGACCGGGCTGCAGGCCAGCCCTCGGGACACCCGGGGCCCTCTTCAGGTCCAAGAGCCACTTCCTGCTCTTGTTTCTGGCTGTTTTTCTGCGAGGCTCTGGTGAGGTTCTCCTCTGGGCCCCACCCTGGCCTCCACAGCCATCTCTGCTTCCCTCAGACCAGTGGGGAGCGGAGCCCAGGAGGAAGTGCAGGCCTCTGCGTCCCAGGCTCCCATGTGAACGATGTTTCTCTGTTTCTGAGGCACAGGAAGGCTTCCCACCTGAGGGGTAATTTAACCCCAGGTTCCCACACTCCTGCACTCCACTGCCTACCATAACCCCAGACTCTCTGGAACTCCAGCTCGCTCCGGGCTGCCCCTCAGAATGACACTTCCTCTCCCATTTTCCCCTCCTGTGCTCCCTCTGCCTCCCATGTGGCTCATTCTCTTTCTGCAGTCTCAGCAGTGTCTCAGTCTCACAGGTCGCAGCCATGCAGGGGCCACTGCCTGCACAGGCCTCAGTGGACTCTCGGCCCCTCCCGCCGCCACCCTCTCCTGTCTTCATCCTGCTCTGCAGTCCAGAGGAGGTGGAGTGGCAAGTGTGGTTTTTAACCTCCAGTGAGATATAATTTTCTGCCTCATTCCCAGGCCTGGTCAGATTGTCCTGCTACTCAATTATGAAAGTTATCTTGGGACCACGCATCAGCCAGCAGAGGCGGCACTGAGTCCTCCCTCGATGCCAGCCTGGGACATCTGGCCTGGCTCCTCCTAGCCTAAGGCCTTCACTACCAGCCTCGGTCAGTGATGAAAGAAAGAAGGAGGAGCATGCGTACTCTTGGAGCCCCGCAATACCGTCCAGAGGAAAGCAGCGCCTGGCCCCCCAGCAAAGGCGAGGTGCAGAGCTCGGGGCACCTGGGCTACTCACCAAGCCTCTCTGTTGCCACCTGGCATGAGAGACGGGCCGTACCGGGCCCCTTCCTCGCCACCACTGACGCCACTCCCCACGAACAAGATGCCCTTGGCCTTGAGGTCTCGACATCGCCTCTGAGGAAGAGGAAAACCACGTCATGATGCCTCCAAAACCCAAATTCCTCCCACGGATCGAGGAAGCGTGAGTTGGCCAGAGACGCTGTGGTGGACAGGCCTGGCCCAGGTCACTCCAGTGGCAACTGCAGGTGGCAATTAAAGCAACCAGTTTTCCTGGATGCTCAATGGAACCGTCCCAACTGCCAGAAGGAATAAAGGCAGAACACAGTCCCATCTTCCCCAGAGACTCCTGAATTAAGAACTGGTTTCATAGGAGCTTAGTGACTTAGTATCGTTCTGCAGGCTCCCAGAGCCCGAGCGACATACACAGCCCTAGGGCCTGAGGCCAGCAGAGCAGCGTCTCAAAGACACAGACTCTGCACAAACAGCAGGATGGAGTGACGAAAGCACGAGCCCCAGCTAGCCAGAAAAGGGCTGGGAGTGACCAGGGCCCGGGCGGCGACCCACCGCCCCAGATGAAAGCTGACCCCTCTGTTCCCGGGAGCCAGAGGAATCGGGGCCAAGGGACACGTACTGTGGTGTCACGATACTCAGAATTTCCCCCGTCGATGATGATGTCGCCGGTGTCCAACAACGGGACCTGCAACCAGACACAGGCACCACAGTGACCAAAGAAAATGAACAGGAATTTATCCCAAATATATATAATCTGAAGGCATGCCGTTTTCTAATCTTTTAAAATTTTATTTAAAAAATAAATATTTATTTGGTACAGGGTCTCACTATGTAGCTCAGACTCAGAGATCCTCCTGTTCTCAGCCTCCCCAGCACCGGGATTACAGGCGTGTCCCACCACACCATGAGGCATGCGGTACTGTGGATCGAACCTGGGTCCTTGTACTTGCCAGGCACTTAGGCTGCTGAGCTATCTCCCCAGCCCGGCATATGGTGTTTAATTGTCAACAATCCTCAGTGGCTCTAGTCACATCTTAAAATCATAAGTCAGGCATGGGGGCTAATCCCAGTACTCCGAAGGCTGAGGCAGGAGGATAGCCATGAGCTCAAGGTCAGCCTGGGCTGCATAGTGAGTTCAAGGTCAGCCTGAACTGCACAGTGAGACCTTGTTCTCAAAAAACAAAAATAAAATAAAAACAAGAGATACCCTTGCTAAAGCCTCAAACTGTTTGGAATAAAGAGAATGACCACTTCCTAGGAGTCCCTAAAGGGATATCATATCGTTCATATTATGCAACTATGAAAATTGTTGCATGCCTGGAGGTTGAGGCAGGAGGACGGTAAACTCAAGGACAGCCTGGATTACACAGTGAGATCCTATCTCAAAAAAACAAAAGGAAATTGTTTCTTTATAGGAATACTAAAAAAAATTTCCACATTTGGACACAAATATTTATTAGTAAAAAATACTATAGATACTTATAAATATAAGAAAATCAAAACTGGGGGCCGGTCTAACAGCTCAGGGCCGACCAGACAGCTCAGCGGACTAAAGTGCCTGCTTAGGCAGAGCACAGCGGCCAGGGTTCAGTCCATGCAGGACCCACCCCTGGGGCGCACTGAGCCGGTGATTGACACTGGGCAGGGTGGTGTACACCTATAATCCCAGCACTTGGGAGGCTGAAAACAGGAGGATCACTACAAGTCTGATCTACATAGTGAGACCCTGTAGACCCTGTTTCCCCTGTACTAAATGCATTAAAAAAAAAAAAAAAATCAAAACCGTAAGATCAAATTTGAGGCCAGCTTGGCTAACTTAGTGCTATAGTTTGTGTCCAGTTGTCCCCCCAAAGCCTCATGCAGTCACAGGCGGGCTTTAGAGTTTGTCATTCACTCATGACCCACTGGGATTATGGGTGTGAGCACCACACCCCGCCTGGGGCATAGTCGGAATGCAGTTTAAGAAGACAGACTTGTACTCTGTTGCTGCTCCTCCCTTTTTTTCTTGCTGTTTTGCTGTCTTCCGCCCCATGAACTGCTGCCCTCTGCCGTGCTCCATGCTGCCTTGGAGCCAGGTAAGTATGGACTGAAACCTCTAGCAACTATAAGGTGACTAAACCTTTCCTTCCTTCATTTTGAGAGTCGGGTATTTGTCCCAGCAAAGAGATAAGAGTAACTGAGACACTTAGTAACTTAGTAACCTATCTCAGAACTACAAGAGGAAGCTGGGTATGATGGTGCACGCCTATAATCCCAGCACTCACAAGCTGAGGTGGAAGGATCTTTGCTTGGGCTAAATAGTTCGAGGTCAGCCTGAATTGTAGTTAAACCCTATCTCAAAAAGGGGGCTGGAGGCTGCAGAGATAGCTCAGTGGTCTAAGCCCCTGCCTGGGCAAGCACAAGGAACTGGGTTTGATCCCCAGTACTGTATGTCGTGCTGGGTGCATGGAGCCAGCCACTAAGACCAGGCATGGTGGCAGACACATGTAGACCCAGTGCTAAGGAGGCTGAAGAAGGAGGATCACTATAAGTCCAAGCTGCATAGTGAGACCCTGTGCCAAATACATAAACTTTAAAAAGGGGAGGGGCGGCTGGAGACGTAGCCCAGTGCAAAGGCCACGGGTTTAATGCCCAGTACCATAGGAAGAAAAAAAAATTTAGATGTAGGGGCTAGAGGTATGGCTCAGGGGTAGAACTCACGATTGGCATGAATAAGGCCCTTGGTTCAGTCTCACCCAACAAAAAGTAGAGTCTGGCTATGTAGCTCAGCGGCAGCGTTCATACCTGCCCAGTATGCACATGGTCCCAGCCTTGATCCCGCCAGACAAGTGCAAGAAAACACTGTTTTGGCAGTGCTTGGGGTTGAACCCAGAGTTTACACTTAGCTACATTCCCAGGTCTTTTTTAATTTTTTAAGGCAAGGTCTTGCTAAATCCCACACTGTCCTAGCTGGGCTTGAACTTATGATTCTCCTGCCTCAGCCCCCCAGAGCACTCGGATTACTGGTCAGGTGCCTCCACACACCTACTGTAAAATCTTTCTGCGTAACAAAGACAGAGAACCCATCTATAGATTTCTATTGACCTGATTCTTACTGCTAATTCTTTCTTAGTGACCGCCTCTGTCTCCTCTGTCTCTCTGTCCTAGAGTCACCGCCACCCAGGGCTATTCTATTGCTCAAGGAGTGCCAATCGGGTTGGCCAACAGTGAAACATTTAGGCAATCATCCCGTCAGAAGTGAGCACTTCCTGTCCAGAAAGTGAAAACTCAAAACAAAATCTCGGAAGAAAAACCAAGGAAAGAGCAGCCGGGAGCCCGAGTGCCTCACCAGTTTCTCGATGAAGTCATCCACGGCCTGGCCGGCCTTGACCAGCAGGATGACCCGCCGTGGCTTCTTCAGCTTGGACACCATCTCCTTCAGGGACTGCGCGCCCACCACCTTAGTTCCCTTCGCTTCGTTGGCCAGGAAATCATCTACTTTGGAGACTGTCCTGTTAAAGGCACAGACCTAGAGGAAGAGGGACAGATTAGGGGGGCTGAGACACACAGATGTTCACACTATGCACCAAGTCCCAAACATGTCCCCCTATACAGCTTGAAGTTCCAGGGAGGGCTCGAGCCACCTCAACAAGGTGACACAGTACAGAAGCGAGGCAAAGGCCCTGTTTCTTGGTGGAACCTGTCACTGCCGGTTAGGCCTCAGAAGCAAATCCAGGAAGCAGCGGTGCCACCAGGGACTTGGCCTTGGCTTCTACCCGACTGTCCTCCTCTGGGCTCAAAGCTTCATGCCCGCTAAGCCAGCTCCTCCCTAGGCTTTGTCCCCAGTCCCTGTTTCCTTGATGTTGCCATCTAAGCCTCTTCAGTATCTCTAGAAGTAACATTTAGAGATTGCTGGTGGAGGTGTCCAGGGCCTGAAGTCTCCAAGTCAGGAGGCTGAGGTGGGAGGATGGCGTGAGCCTGGATCTGGAGGCCAGCCAGGGCAACGGAGCGCAATCTTGTCTGGGGGAAAGAGACTTTCTCACTCTTCCCAGATCTCACTGGGCAACAAGTTAGTGCTCCAGGCGGGCAGGACCTGCCCTCTCCCACCACTCAGAACCTCACAGGAGTCTCCTTCCTGGAACTGCAGGGACAGCCGGCCACACCCACGACTGAAGTGGCTGCTTTGCAGCTGGTGGCCAAGGGTTTGCACGGGGCTGGAAAGGGGTGTGGATTCTATGGATTCTGTGCAGCCGGGAGGGTGCACGCCAAGGTCCGAGCAGGGCAGCACAGGACTGGACCTGCCCCCAGCACTCACCACAAAGCCGTGGTCATTCATGTTCAAAATCAAGTTCTGGCCCATGACAGCCAGCCCGATGAGCGCGACGTCAGCTCTGAAAGGCCGGGGAGAGGACAAAGAAAAAATGTCAGCGCCTGCTCATTTCTGATGCGACAGGTAAGTGGTCGCCCCCCAAGCTGCGCTGGACCCCCCAGGGAGTTTCGGCGCCGTCTGACGGACCCAGTCCGCCCTGCCGGACCCAGCCCCGAACCCCACGACCAGCCATCAGTGCCTGCGCGCAGAGGGCCGGGAAGCTCGGGTCGCGCCTTCGGAGTGTGGGGTCCGGGCGCCTGGGGCGCACGCGGGCGACCCCAGGCTGGAGAGGCGGGGAGAGAAGCAGGGTCCAGGTGCCCCGCGGGTCACTCACTGAGCCATGGCGACGGCGGCGGCAGTGGACCGAGCAGACAGAGGCGGAGAGAAGAAGCGCGGGGGCTCAGTGCTAGCAGAAAGTGCGGTCCGGTCCGGCTCCCGCAGACCTCCGGAGCTTGCAGCCGCTCCTCACCCCATTCGCTGGCACTCGCCAATCGGAAGTAAGGGTCAGGGTCTCGCGCAGCACGATTGGTTCTCTAAGGCGCCTGTTATACCACCTGAGGCCAAACGGGCCCGCCCACCACCGGGGCTGGGTTAGTAGATTTCCGAGCACATCGATGACAGCCCGGCGCGGCACCGCCCCTCCACTGGAGGGGGTGTGCCCGGTTGCGCTTGGCACTTGCGCAGCTGCGAAGGGACGACTCCCAGGTGCAGGCTTTGAGAAATCGTTTCACCGAACACTGGAAACTTTAGTTTTTGAACTACTCGATTCTGTTGTAACTGTATGGGTCCATCATCAGCGCTTTTTATAATTTAGAGACAGGGCTGTCTAAGTTTCCGGACTGGGTTGAAATTTGCAATCCTCCTGCCTCAGCCTTTTAGAATGCTGGGATTGCCGGCGTGCGCCGGCCCTTCACCAAGTTTTAAAAGCGCGTAGCGGTACTGGGCCGAGGAGTGTGAGCCCCCCGAAACAGCGTGTTAGAGCGGGGAGATGCGCTGAGTTCCACAGGGACAGGGCTAACCCGAAAACGTCCTCGGGGGCTTGGGTGCTTTCCAAGGTCCCTGTCTATCAAAGGGGCGACCTCAGTGGGGAGAGAGCTCCTTTGCTATCACGTAAAGCACTTCCGATGCCCGCTGAGATGAGCTAGAACCTCATTAGCAGGGGTTCTGACGGAGGCTGACGGGCTCGCTCTGGTTTTTTGTCTTTCCCGCTGTGCAACTGGGGCCATATTTTGGGTGGGGTTTTGTTGTTGTTGTTGTTGTTGTTTTGTTGCGGAACCGGGGCTTGAACTCAGAGCCTTGCGCTTGCCAAGGAAGTGTTTATTCTACTGAGCCACCTCCCCAACCCCTGGATATCTTGTTTCACTGCTGGGGACTGAACCAGGCCCTGGGGCACGCACGTGTACTCTAGTCCAAGGTATTAAATCTGAGTTTCCCGTTCTGCAGAAGAGGAATGACAAGAGTTCCCCGTAACCACAGGCCTCAGTGAAGGCCCTGGGACCTGCGTCCAGCATCTGGCACCCACGCTCGCTCTGCTTTGGGGGTCAGGGCTTGATATCCCACATGGAGCCCCTTGGTGTCTTGGGAACTCTGAGCTAAGGGGCACCTAAGGGCCGCAGAAGCAGGCTCATTCTGATCCTGTCCCCGTCACCTCTTTATCCCCGAGAGTAAGTCAAAATATAGTTTTTCTTTCCCAAGGTGGGTCATAAAAGTGAGAGCCCCTCTGTCCCCAAAGAATCATAAGGCCTAGAAATATTTCTCTAACCTTCCCTCCCCTTAGTTGTTTTTTCTTTTTCTTTTTTTTTTTTCCCGGAACTGGGAATTGAACTCAGGCCCTTGCACTTGCCAGGCAAGTGCTTGTTCTACTGAGCCATCTCCCCAGCCCCTTTTTTTCTCTTTTTTTTTTCCCCCCTTAGTTGTTTTTTCTTGCAGCATTGGGAATAGAACCCAGGATCTTGCATATGCCTGACACTCACATTGCCAGCGAGCTATGCCTTTTTTTTTTTTTTTTCTTTCCTGTATTTTAGGGAAGGGCCTACAGGGTGTTCAGGATCTCACTACTAGATCGGATTCGTGGTGATTCTCCTGTTTACAGCCTCCCAAGTGCTGGGATTACAGGCGTACGCCACGCCCAGTCTCAATCGCAGCCTAGAGGGGGGGATGGGGGCGGGACCAGCAAGGCCCAACATCCCCCTCCCTCCCTTGCAGGCGCTATAACAGCCAAATTATTTGGTCCACCCTCCCCCCTTGTTTTTGAGACAGGATCTCACTAAGATGCCCAGGCTAGCCTCCCATTTACCACCATCCTGTCTCAGCCTACAGGGTAGCTGGGATTACAGGCTTGCGTGACAGGCAGCTTTTCTCTTTCTAATGTGTGGTTTGTGACAGGAGGTGTTCACTGTAACCCTTATTAGAGATGAGGAAGGGGCCACCCTGTATCCCTCCCACACTCCTGCTCCCTGGAAAGGGGTGAGGACAGGGACATAAACTTTTACAAAAACAGCGCGTTGAACTTGAAAAATTCTCCCTGTCTCCTGTGGAAAAAAGAGGGACTCCCACAGCCCATGTGGAGCTGTCTCTATTACCTGAGTTGTCCTGTATTGAAGATTCCCCCTTAAGAGCCCC